CAACCCGTGGCCGAGACAGGGAGATATCCAGAGGGAGAGACAGAAGCTCCTGCGGAGTCCACACGCCCTGTGGGGCCGCCACTGCGTGATCCAACAGGTAGGTATCACCACGGCCACCCGGCTTCATCCCCAGCCCAGCCCAGTACACCTAGAGTGGGGAGACATCCGGCAGGGGAGGCGGGAAGCCCACAGAGTCCACGCTGCTGCCGCACAATCTAGCAGCCCGGCCCAATGTGTATGGAGCACAGAGTCATCCAGCAAGGGAGACAGAAGCTCTGTAGAGTCCACACACCCTGTGGGGGGGCTTCCGCCACACAATCCAGCAGCAGGTAGGCTTCACTGCTGCCACCTGGCTCCATCCAAAGCCTGGCCTAGCGGTGCACAGAGCAGGGAGACATCCTGCAGGGGAAGGGGAAGCTCTGCAGAGACCACATGCTCTGTGGAGCCTCTGCGCATCCCAGCAGCCTGGGCCAGAGCGCACGGAACAGGGAGTCACTGAGGTAGCCAGACTAAATTGGCAACCACAGCAACATCTTAGTCAGTCAATAGTGTCAAACCTGTGGACTGTGAAACCTCCTGCCACAATGAATAAACATCAAAGAAAAGATACCAGAAATATGAAAAATCAAGAAAGTACACCACCAAAAGATAATAAATCTGAAGCTCTAAATCCTATAGAACAAGAAGCCCTTGAAATGACTGACAAGGAATTTCGAGTGATAATTCTAAGAAAACTGAATGAGATACAAGAAAACTCAGCTAGATATCATGATGAAATGAGGAAAAGTATACAGGACCTTAAAGAGGAAATGTACAAGGAAATCAAGGCCCTGAAAAAAAATGTAGCAGAACTTGCCAAACTGAAGAAGTTATTCAGCAAAATAAAAAACACAATGGAGAGTTTAACCAACAGGCTTGTGGAAGTTGAAGAAAGAACCCCTGCCCTTGAAGATGGGCTGTTTGAAAAAACACAAGCAGACAAAAAAAAAAAAAAAAAAAAAGAAAAAAGAATCAAAGACATTGAAGAAAATCTGAGACATCAGACAACCTTAAGTGCTCAAATATCCAAGTCATGGGTATTCCAGAAGGGGAGA